AGTCAAAAAATAAAGCTACAGACCAATCTCCCTAATGAATATGGATACAAAAATGTTTAACAAGATACTAGGGAACAGAATACAGCAAATCAAGGAGATTATATACCATGACCAAGTAGGATTCAGCCAAGAATATAAACATGGCTCAACATATGCAAATTGTTGCAGTCAAGATTTGCAAGGGAAACAATTTAATACAGCATTTGTAGGGTTATTTTATAATAGTCACACAACGAGTCAAATACAAAAAAATGCAGAAAAATCTATGCATACACTGCAGATCCCAGTAATCTATCTGAGGCCCCAGATCCCAGGTTAGTAACTTGTGTGAGTCCAAGACATGAATCTAGCTGAAGACCTAGATCCTGTGATAATGCTCCCCAGAGTCCAAATAGAGGTCTACAACCCATGACAATATCCCATGCAAGTCTATTTCATGCATCTGTGTTGGAAAGGCTTAAAAGTCATCCAGAGAAGCTAGAACGTATGTGCCAGCAGGAAGATGGATCTGTGTCAGTAGGCTGAGGGATCTACACTGGAGCCAGGAATTGATATTCAAAGTAAGGACCAGAGCTTCCCATAAAACTACCACAGCCATCCTCAGCAACAACAAGGTCTCAAGCTCCTCCAATGACAGACAACAGCCAAGTTCATATCAGGACAGAAGCATGACAAACTTCTCCTGGAGATTGAATAGCACACCATCTGCACACCTCTGCAGCCAGGAAGCAATGCTCAAAGTAAAGACCAGAGCTTCCCCAAAGTGAACTGCAGCCATTGTCAGTGAAACAAGGTCCCAAAGTCTTCCAATGAGGAGAAACACCCGTGTTCATAACAGTTAAGAAGCTCAACAAGCTACTCCAGGAGAACCAAGAGTAACAAGAGAACCTACCCTATTTCTTTCCCCTTTTTATGTTGTTAGCAACAATCTTCAGGTGGACCATCCTTACCCAGCACCACACTGATTCAGTTCAGCTGGGTGTTACAAGCTTCCCACCAGTTTTCAGTCCACCACACAAATCAATAAACGTAATATAGCATATCAACAGAGCCAAAGGTATAAATCACACGATCATCTCAATAGATGCAGAAAAACATTTGACAAAGTCCAGCCATTCATGTTTTTAAAAATCTTACAGAAAATTGGATGGCATGGTCCTTACCTCAATGTGATAAAAGCCATCTATGACAACCCTACACTCAACATCATCCTAGATAGTCAAAAACTGAAAGCTTCAACTCTAAAATAAATAAAAAAAGTGAGGATGTTCACTATCACCAGTCCTCGTCAGTGTAATTCTAGGAATATTAACCAGAGCAATTGGACAAGGAAAAGAAATAAAAGAATAAAGATATAAAAGGAAGAATTCAAATAATCTGTATTTTCATATGATGTGATACTTTACATAGAAGATCCCAAAAATGCCAACAAAAGTCTTCTATATTTAATAACCAAATTCAGTAGTATATCTGGATACAAAGTCAACACTCAAAAATCAATAACTAAAGTAACAAACTCAGTGAGAGAGAAATTAAGGAAACAACACATCCCACAATAGCATCCAAAAAATGAAATACCCAGGAATCAACCTAACAAAAGAAGTAAAAGATCTTTACATTGAAAGTCACAGTACTCTGAAAAAGGAGACCAAAGCATATATCAGAAAATGGAAATATATATCCCTTGTTCCTAGTAGGAAGAACCCACATAGTGAGAATGGCCATATTACCAACATTGTCATACAGATTTAATGCAATCCCAATCAAAATACAATTATCACACCACCCAGAACTAGAGAAATAATTCCTAAAATTCTTTTGGAGCCAGAAGAGAACCAAAATAACAAAAACAATTCTAGGCAACAAAAGGAAATAAAAATAAATCAGACACACATATGTAAATATTGCCTCTCTGGCGCAAGAAACTGAAAGAGTAAATACGGACCAACATGTACAATAGATATTATGAAACAGGAAATAATTTTCCAACAGGAAAGAGGATCTAGGGTGGGGAAAGGGGGGAAGGAAGGAAGGGAAAAGGAAAAACAATAAAAGAAGGATACAATGGAAACAAAGCTTTGTAAATAAGGAGTGGAAAGGGGTTGTAGGGAGGGGAGGGGGTAAAGGAAAAAGGGAAAATCAAGATATATCATATATAAATACAAACTCCATATGATAAATATGATCACTTTGTATATCTAAATTATACCAATAAACTTAAATAAAAAATGAACATATAGAGACATGGGACGTAGATAATACTTGTGTCAGACACTCTCTGGAATTGATACTTTTCAAGATGTGGATTTCTATCTTCCTGCCCCAAGCCCTGACACATGCTGAGTATTTACTGTCTGGTGAATGAATGAATCAAAGAGAAGTGGAGAGGAACAAGAGGTGCAAATATGGGGTCCGAGGGAAACTGAAAGCCGCTGGTCCGGAAAACAGAGGACTCAGTCCATTCTGATTGACTCCTAAAACCAATACTATGTATAAACTAAATGCTACCCCTGGGGACATCATGTTCAAGATGACCAGGCCCCTGCCATCAGAAACTATATAATTCAGGGCCAATACAATTCTAGATGGCTGGGCTCTTGCCCTAAAACTTCATTCTCTATTTTTCTTTTTTTTATTTTAAAGAGAAAAAGATAAACAAACAATGAAAATGAGTTTAAAAATGGGTTGTGAGACAGATACAATAATTGATACATTACGTATTGTTGTTTTTGCAGTTATTCAGAGTACAGTAGATAGGCATGATATCTTGTGTAAACAATATTAACATAAAACATTCATTTCAAGGAACAAAGAGAACCAGCTGTATAAGTATCTTAACTATGTTGTGTATACGTGTATTTTTTCTCTTTTTTTCCTTTATTCCTCGCCTTTTCCCCAGCACAGTTTGTCTTGTCTTTTGAATGGTTTCTTCCCAATTCACCATATCTATTGCACATTTTGCAACCTGTTTACTTGTTCAGTTTCTCACACTACTGAGACAATACAATTTTTACACATATGTGTCTGATTTATTTCTCTTATGAGTATGGTCTCAAGTTACATCCATTTATCCATAAAAGTCTCCAGTTTATTCTTTTTATGGCTGTGCAGTACTCTGTTGTACTGAAAAAAGCCACACCTTTTACCCACTCCCCAGCTGATGGGCATTTTGATTGTTTCCATGATTTAGCTATTACAAGTTATGCTGCTATAAACGTGTATGCACATATATAACTGTGGTATGATGTTTTTAATTGCTCTGGGAAAATATCCAGAAGGATACTAGCTAGGTTGAATGGGATCTCTAATGCAGTTTCCCGAGGAATATTCACACTGACATTCTGTATTTTTCTTACCAATACAATAACAAAAAAGCATCAAGCGCTTTCAGAGAGCAAAATTTGCCTAAAACATGATTGTTATGGTTTATATCTAGATTTCCCTCTAAATTCTCATGAGCTCACAAGTGGGGCTTTCGGTTGGTAACTGTATCATGAATGTGACATACTGGATTAGCCAAGTGATCAATTTGATATTATGATATTGGGAGAGAAATTGGAGAGAGAGAGCTGAGTCACTGAGGGTGTGGCCCAGAAGGATGCACGGATAAATCCTTCCTCCTCACTTGATGCTGCTCTGCTTCCTGCCTGCCAGGCCATGAGCTGTTTCTCATCTGCCATGCCTCAGCCATGCTGCTCTGCCTTGGCACCAGCTGACTATGGACTGAAACCTACACAGTGAGCTACAATAAACCTTTCTCCCTTTCACTTGTGGGTGTCATGTATTTTGTCCTAGCAATGAGAAATTAAAACAATGACTTTGGATTTGAATTCCCAAAAGAACCTGCTTCAGACCATAATGTTAAATGAATATATCAGAGACACAAGTTTTAATACAGCAAGGTTTTCTTTTACATAAAAAATCAAAGAGTAAAACAAAAAATAATAAGAAACAGAGTGATAGCTCTTTTGCAAAAAGGAAGGGGACATAAAGTTGGAGGGAGGAGAGGAAAGAATGAAAAATATTAAGGTACATGTAGCAACTTCCCACAATGAATGTAATCATTATTAGCACTGACACATACTCATAAAAATTAAAATTAAAAAGGAAAGCTGAAAAACTACATCTCCAAGGAAGAATTTCTCAGACATCTGAAGAGTATATGACTTGATTGTGAAAGAGTCACCAACTGCAGACTGTATGAGAGGGTTGGCCAAGGAAGGCCACAAGATGTAAGAGAAAGTAAACGTCCTCTGTTTTCTCTCCTGTCTGAGGAAGGTTGAATGATGGAGGAGGAAAATCGTTCAGACTCTCAGCCTGCATTTTTATATTCATATGGAGGAAATAGGAACAAATTATCAAATGAATGAAAGATGGAAACATTTCCTAAAGCTGGTGTTAGATGAGGAGAACTAAATGGAAAAGCTAAAAGAAGCAAATACCCTAACACCTGAAAAAACATAGTGGTCAAGGAAACTATGGGAGATGCATACAATTACCTAATGTACAGTCACCATAATACACACACACACACACACACACACACGTGCATGTCTGTATCATTATATATAATAAAATACTGAAGAGTTTATCATTTACTGTAAGCAAACTAAGAGTTCAAACTAGGAGTATATTGTACTAGTACTTTTTAACATTTAAATGCACAGAAATATGTCCATAGGAACATGCATTCACTTTTTACAAGGAAATGAGGGCCTAAAACATCAAGTAAGCACTCTGTCCCCAAGTTTAACCATCAGCCCTATATAACTTTATTAATACACTTTATCTTAAAATGTTGGGACTGCGGATTAAGCATGAGTTTATTTTTTCAGACCAAAGGATTTGTTTCATTAATTATCTCTGTGATTTTAAAAATTCTGAAAACAAACTAACACATAAATAAATGATTGAACAATTACATGTCTGTTATCTCCATTATGAGACATCATAAAATGCCTGAACCAACCAGATCTAGGGTGAGTTCCCTTTTGCTGTACCTTTCAGGGTGGAACTCATCAGGTTCTGGCCAGTATTTTGAGTCTCGGTGAAGAGCAAAACTTGGTATCATCACTAGTGTCCCTTTGGGAAAGGACATTCCATTGATTTCAAAACCTTTTTTGGACATCCTCTCAATTCTGTTAGCAACTGGATATAATCTGAGAGTTTCATTCACCACCATATCCAGATATTCCATCTCCATCATGACATCATATGTAGGAAATGCCTAGAAAGAAAGAAACAGATTTTGGTAAACTGAGCTTCGAAAATAGTGTTCAACCCAGTCTATGTAGCGCTGTTGAATTGTTAGGAGCTCCAGAGATTAATTCATATTGATAAAGGTCTAAATCAATTACAGAGTATTTCAGTAACTACCTGTGGAGGCACTGGCCAGAGGTATGTATAACATGGATATGCAGAGATAAAGAAGACACATGCCCCAAACTCCCAGAATACATGGTTAGAGATTAAAACTTAGCCTGTAGGACCAAACTCTGAGTAGGCTTGAAACTCATTGTCTTACGATGTGAATGCTCTGGCCCTCATCCTCTGCATACTCTGACTTAGTACTTAGATAGGTCCTAATGTCAGTCATGAAACAGACCATCCTGACCTTACTTTGCCCTTCTGTCCTGTCCCTTTCTCCTAAATGAATTCATACATAGAAGTTCTTTGTCCTCCACCCTTGCTTCCTGATACTATCAATAAGAAGTCACAGAAGCTTCACTTTGGGGCTGTCTTTCCTCTGGTCTTTTTGGAGTTTGAATTGAACACTGACTCCAAGTAATCTTTCATTCTTTGTGCTGTGCCTTAGGTGTGAACTGTGATAACGATTATGTTAAATGTGTACTATAGTAATGAATGTAAAATACGTATGGCACAATCCCTACCCAGGGCCTGAAACCCCTAGATTTACCATGTAGTCATTTTCTTCCTCATGTAAGGAAACTTGACTAATAAATTATGACAATTACACTCTAGAAAATACACCAAAGACATTATAACCTTTCAAGAGAGAAGCCACACATCTATACCCAGATAGGAGAACCGGGAGAGGAACAATATCCCTCATTCCAGCCTAACTACATTGCCCAGGTTGGACTTGAATTCACAGTTCTGCAGTCACAGCTTCCCAAGTAAGTGAGATTACAGGTGTACAGCACCATTCCCAGGTTATGTCAAGGTTTTTTATTTCACAACATCTGCTACTAACCCTTTGGATTATGTGCATAAAATTTGGACAGAAATACCACATTAAACCAATCCTCTACAAATAAATTGACACAGAAAATTATTTCTTTTTATTCCATTACAACAAAAGGTTTTGATTGGGTGCTCACTTGGCAGGCAATTTTAATTCTGGTGAAATTCTGAAGCAGGATAAGAACCCCTAGTGAGCCCCATTCTTGGTTACTTGGCCAGTCTTCTGTTTGCACTTTAGGGCTTCACTGTGAGCTCTGAAGAAGATGTTTTATGCCTATCTCATTGATAAACCAGCCATACCAACTCCATAAGTCTGATATCCTCACAATACACAGCCTTCCCATTTTGAAAGAGATTTGAAAATACTATGGATACTATGTGATTATCACCTGAGATGACATTGGACAAAGTATAATGTGGAGGTTAAGAGTTTGTCTCAGAGTCAAAAAAACTAGCTCATTCCATGGCCTCTTGATGTCTAGCTACATAACTGGAGTTTGAGGATGTATTGACAGAGCTGAGTCAGCCTGTCCAGCCCAGCCAAAGGCAGTTTTGGTCAGTTAGCAGCCAGTCCATGGACATACAGCTGCATCAGCAGAGATCTCTATCTAACTATGTGAGCAATATAAGATCACTGATACATGACATGGAGATGTATTATTGTGGCAATAGACAATAGATATGCCAAGACCAGCATTGTATTACAAAGCTCTTACTTTTCTATAAATAGTATAAAGTTTCTATGTTTTACCCCTTATTTGTAACTTCAGATCCTTCATACTTGTAACTAGTGCTAGTAAATAAATCAACACTGACTCTGTGTATAAAGATTCTTGCTGTAAATAATAATAATGAGAGTTTCTTAAGTGCTGACTTCTTTCTTCTCTTCCATGTACTGTCTACTTACCTTATTGGGCAAAGTTTTATCAATCTCCTGCTGCAGTTTCTTCTGCACATCAGGGTGGGTGGCCAATGAATACATAATACAAGAAAGAGTGCTACTACTGGTCTCATAACCAGCAAAAATAAAGATAATTGACTGGGCCAAGATCTCCACATCAGACAGAGCTAGAAGGAATGGAAATTTATTTCAGGTAAAGTAGATCAAGGCAGTATATCACTTTTTAGATGAGAAAAACACAAATCAAGCGCTCATATCCCTAGAAAACCAATTCAAAGTCATACTGGGAATGATTTTCACTGCAATGGCCAAAAAATGGTGAAATTAATTACATTGAAGTCTATATTACTCTTAGCTACCTCCTCCTCTTATGCCATCCACACCACCACCACAGCTGAATAGTTTAAGTAGCATACATAGGATTATCAGTACATCCCTTGGATGAGCATAAAATTACCTATAAATAAAACATGGAGTGGCTTTGTCTCTCAGAAAAGTTAAAGTGGGGGGCACCTCGGCCGGTACCCAGCCGCACCTGGCCGTCGGTGTGCGGAGGAGGAGCTGCGCGGATCCGGAGCTGCCTGCAGAGGCCCCGTCCTTTGTCTGGAGGAGGAGGGGTCCCGGGTTCCTGGGGCACCTCGGCCCGTACCCAGCCGCGCCTGGCCGTCGGTGTGCGGAGGAGGAGCTGCGCGGATCCGGAGCCACCTGCAGAGGCCCCGTCCTTTGTCTGGAGGAGGAGGGGTCCCGGGTTCCTGGGGCACCTCGGCCGGTACCCAGCCGCGCCTGGCCGTCGGTGTGCGGAGGAGGAGCTGCGCGGATCCGGAGCCGCCTGCAGAGGCCCCGTCCTTTGTCTGGAGGAGGAGGGGTCCCGGGTTCCTGGGGCACCTCGGCCCGTACCCAGCCGCGCCTGGCCGTCGGTGTGCGGAGGAGGAGCTGCGCGGATCCGGAGCCGCCTGCAGAGGCCCCTTCCTTTGTCTGGAGGAGGAGGGGTCCCGGGTTCCTGAGGAACCTCGGCCTGTGCCCAGCCGCGCCTGGCCATCGGTGTGAGGAGGAGGAGCTGCGCGGATCCGGAGCCGCCTGCAGAGGCCCCTTCCTTTGTCTGGAGGAGGAGGGGTCCCGGGTTCCTGAGGCACCTCGGCCTGAGCCCAGCCACTCATAGCCATCTGCGTGCAGAGGAGGAGCGGGGTAGATCCGGAGTGCCCGCAGGAGGCCCTTCCTTTGTCTGGAGGTTTGTGGATATCTCTGCAAGCAGGGAGGGATCACAGGCTCCTGAGGCACTGCGGTCTGTGGTGAGTACCCTAACCCGGCTGCGATCCAAGAGCTGTGGATCTACCAAGGGGCAGGTGGGCGCACAGTGTCCCTGAGGCCCAGCTTGTCTGGAACCGCGGAGTTCTGAACAAGCAGAGAAGGGCCATTGGTTCTGCAGGCCCAATGGCCTGGGGTAGAGTGGTGCCAGAGTCTCAGTAGCTGCAAACATAGAAGGGGATTTTCAACAGATCCTGAGGAGGCTTTCAAATAACACTTGAAACACAGAAATATAGGAAAATGACAAAACGAAAGACCAAATTACAACCTCAAACCTCCAGCCCATCTCAGGAAACCCTAGGAGAAGTGTATTTAGAAGAAAATATATCCCATCCTCCTCATATATTAGACACAATAGCTACTGAAGTTGACAAGCAACTCCAGGAAGCTTTAAAGAAATTCAAACTCGAAATAATTTCCCAGATAAAAGAAGAAATGATAAAAGAAATGAAAGAGATTCTAAATATATCTAAAGAAAACACAGATAAAAAATTGGAGGAATTAAACAAAAAGATAGAATCCCTAGACGAGCAATATAAGAAACAAACAGAATACATAATGCAGATGCACAGAGATATACAGGAAATAAAAAACTCCACTGAAAGTTGTAAAAACCGCCTTAATGAAAGTGAAGATAGAATTTCAGACCTTGAAGACAGGATTGCAGCAAGTGAACAGGAAAGGAAAGATCTTTTAAAAATAACAAGGAATCAGGAAACAACAATTCAACAACTGCAAGATGATGCAAAGAAGAATAACATAAGAATGATAGGGATTAATGAAAAAGAAGGAGACAACATAAAGGATATCAAGAGGATATTTAGAGAAGCAATAGCTGAAAACTTCCCAAGCATGAGATCAGAAACTGACATCAGGATCAGTGAAGCATATAGAACTCCAAATAGTCATAACCAAACTAAAACTACACCCAGACATATAATAATCACCATCCCAGAAATCCAACACAAGAATAGATTATTAAAAGCTGTCAGAGAGAAAAGACAGATCACTTATAAAGGAAAACCTATCAGAATCACAGCAGACTTCTCATCACAAACAATAAAGTCAAGAAGAGCATGGAGTGAAGTATTCCAGATCCTAAAGCAAAATGATTTCCAACCTAGACTGATATATCCTGCAAAACTATCATTTAAAATAGATGGTAAAATACGATACTTCCATGACAAAGAACAGCTGAAGAACTTCATGAACACCAAACCAACCCTGCAAAAAATATTGAAAGACAGTTTAGATACACAAAGGAAAAAACAACTAAGCAAAGCAAATAATTAAACAGAACAGAAAGATAAAGATGCAACAGCAGAGAGATAAGAATCCTACAATTAAACAACATTTAACAGTAATAACCATTAATGTAAATGGTCTCAATGCACCAATCAAAAGAAACAGACTAGCAGAATGGATCAAGAAACAAAATCCAACCATATGCTGTTTACAGGAAACCCATCTAACCCAGAAGGATACTCACAGACTGAAAGTCAAAGGATGGAAAACAATTCTTCATGCAGCAGGAATCTAAAAAAAGGCAGGAGTAGCCATTCTGTTTGCAGACAACGTGAACTTTAAACCAACAATGACCATAAAGGACAAAGAAGGTCACTACATACTCGTAAGGGGAAAACTCCAAGAGGAAGAGATAACTATCTTAAATATATACGCACCAAACTCCAGAGCGCCCAGTTATATAAAACAATTATTAACAGAAATGAAAACTCAAATTATCAGTAACACAATTGTAACGGGAGACCTTAATACGCCATTGACACCAAGGGACAGATCGACCAGAGAGAAAATGAGTAAAGAAATAACAGAACTGAATCATACCTGTGAACAAATGGGTTTGATAGACATATACAGAATGTTCCACCCAACAACATCAGAATACACATTCTTCTCAGCAGTACATGGATCATTTTCTAAAATAGACCATATATTAGCTCATAGAACATATTTAAACAAGTGCAAAAGAGCTGAAATCATCCCTTGCATGTTATCGGATCACAGCGCTCTGAAATTAGAAATTAATGATAAAAGATACTGCAAAAATCCCACAAACACATGGAAACTGAATAACACACTCTTGAGTAATCAGTGGGTCACAGAAGAAATTAAAGAAGAAATCAAACAATACCTAAAAGAAAATGAAAATGCAGATACAACTTACCGGAATCTGTGGGATACAATGAAAGCCGTTCTGAGAGGAAAATTTATTGCACTGAGTTCCCACATCAGGAAAACAGAACGAATACAAATAAATAACTTGATGCTACACCTCAAACAGCTAGAAAAGGAAGAGCAAGTCAAGCCCAAAGCCAAAAGAAGAGAGGAAATTATAAAAATCAGAGCAGAAATCAATGCAATAGAGACTAAGAAAACAATCCAAAGGATCAACAAATCAAAGAGTTGGTTCTTTGAAAGAATAAATAAAATCGATAAGCCCCTAGCCAACCTTATTAAAAAAAGGGAAGAAAAAGCTCAAATTCATGCAATAAGAAATGAAAAAGGAGAAGTCACTACAGACCCAATAGAAATACAGAAGATCATCAACACCTATTTTGAAAACCTCTACTCTCAAAAGTTTGATAACACAGAAGAAATAGACAGTTTCTTAGAAGCATATGAAGTGCCAAAGCTAGATCAAGAGGATGTAAAACTGTTGAATAACCCAATCTCGGTTACTGAAATTGAAAATGTAATTAAGTCCTTACCCACCAAGAAGAGCCCAGGCCCAGATGGATTCACTGCAGAATTCTACAAGAAATACAAAGAAGACCTAATGCCGACACTCCTCAAACTATTCAATGAAATTGAAAGGGAAGCAATCCTGCCTAAGTCATTCCTGGAAGCAAATATCACTCTAGTACCAAAACCTGAGAAAGACCCAACTAAAAAAGAGAACTATAGACCGATCTCCCTAATGAACACAGATGCAAAAATCCTCAATAAAATATTGGCAAATAGGATCCAGCAAATCATCAAGAAGATTATACACCATGACCAAGTGGGATTCATCCCAGGAATGCAAGGATGGTTCAATATACGCAAATCAATAAATGTAATTCACCATATCAATAAAGCCAAAAATAAGAATCACATGATCATTTCTATAGATGCAGAAAAAGCCTTCGATAAGGTCCAACATTTATTCATGATAAAAACTCTACAGAAAATTGGAATAGATGGTCTTTACCTCAATATAATAAAGGCCATTTATGACAAACCAACAGCCAGCATCATACTAAATGGCCAAAAATTGAAAGCCTTTACTTTAAAATCAGGCACAAGACAAGGATGTCCTTTATCACCACTCCTATTTAATATAGTACTGGAAGTACTAGCCAGAGCAATTAGGCAAGAAAGAGAAATAAAAGGGGTAAAGATAGGAAAAGAAGATTTTAAGTTGTCATTGTTTGCAGATGACATGATACTCTACATAGAAGACCCCCTAAGCTCCATTGAAAGACTCTTAGATACAATAAATAAATTCAGGAATGTGGCTGGATACAAAATCAATACTCAGAAATCAATAGCATTCCTATACACAAACAACAAAACCACAGAGAGGGAAATAAGGGAAACTGGACTATTCACATTAGCAAGCAAAAAAATGAAATATTTAGGAATTACTCCTACGAAAGAAGTGAAAGACTTATACAGTGAAAACTATATTACACTGAAAAAGGAAATTGAAGATGATCTCAGAAAATGGAAAGACATCCCTTGCTCATGTATAGGAAGAACAAACATTGTGAAGATGGCCATTCTCCCAAAACTCTTATACAGATTCAATGCAATCCCAATAGAAATACCATCAACATACCTTATAGATCTAGAGAAATCA